AGTTTTCCTACTTTGAAGTTCATCGTGCCTCTCCTCAGACTCTACTAAAACAACCCGATCTTCGTTTCCAGTATCACGAAACATGTCGGTCATTGCCCTCAGCCGTCTGTAATTATGTGAGCGTAACAGCGTGCTCAGCATACAGGAATTGAAAGTAGACGTTGGTTTCGTTTTACATTTGTGTTGTGCTGTGTGGGTTCATGAATTTGCGTCATTGGCAGGACCAAACAGGATAAGGAAGGAAGTTCAACCCAGCCTTTGTTGTTACAGTGATGGTCAGAGATATAAAAGGTAAAACAAACATTGAACACTTTTCTAAGTAAATATATTTTGAAAGGTGGTATTGACATGAAATTCTCAGCAGATGTCAGTACCAATCCATCTAGTAGATGTCCATAAATTATGTGTTCTAATGAGAAACAGTACAGGGAAAGAATTTTGAACACACGATGAAATGGAGATGCAAAAAAGGCAAGCAAAATCATGACACTCGAGGTCAGGACACAGAGGAGTGAAAAGAATTACCAGAAGAGTTATCCAGTTGCCAAGAAAGTAGTGCACCTGTGGAGCACTACAGAAAGATCTGGAATCAGCATGGAAAATTGTTTCAAAGACAATAAGTAATGAGGTCAACCACTGTGACCTTTATGCACCATGCAAGATTCCATTGCTGAAGAAAAAGTTCCAAGTTGAAGAGCGTTTAAACTTTGCTAAACAACATTTAGACAAGCCTGTGAAATACTCTGAGAATATAATCTGGTCAGATGAGACCAGATGAGATGCTACAATACACACCATGTTTGGAGGTCAAAAGGCACTCCATATCACTCCACAAACACCAGACCAAGTGGGATCTGGAGGTTAGAATATGATGGTGTAGGGATGTTTTTCAGCAAGCGGGACTGACAGGCTTCGTATAATTGAAGGAAGGATGAAATTAAAAATATACAAAGACTATCTTGATAAAAATCTGCTCACTTTCAGCTTTTTTTAGAGAAAGAAAATAAAGCCAAAGTCACTTGACCTGAATCCAGCTGAAAGTCTGTGGAAAGAGCTAAAGCTACATTTTTCAATGCCTCTGCAAAATGGGTTAAAAAACAAACAACTGTGGGATACTGTTTATCCATGATTTGAACTGGGGGAACAAATTGTGGCAGGATGAGCGCGATATCATTTGTATCCCACTGTAACTTTACTGTATAAAGAGCTAACAGCTCCAAAACGTCAGGAGTAGTTAGTTATTACAAGAAGTGCTTGTGAACTAAAAATCAAGAATGTGGGATACTGTTTGTAAGTGATTTGGAGAGCCCATGCTCCCGACGCAGGGAAACCCAATTCTGCAGGGGAGACCTACCTTGGCACTTGTGCAGGTGAAGCCAGAGGGAAGATATGCTTCACCATATTTTGTAGTCTTTGGCTTGGAAGGAACTTGGTTCGGAAACATATTTGGCGATGCTTCATCTCCTGCTTTGCGTTTGTGTGTGTCCATGATGCTAGCAGTGTCCAAGCGTTCTTTTTTTTTTTTTTTTTTTTTTTTCATACAGCCCCCCCCCTCTCTCTCTCAATGGCTCTGCGGGGCGGGCCCCACACTTTGGGAACCTCTGCCTTAAAGTTAAAGTGGGGTTTGGCTGGTGGGAGCACCCTAAGATTGTACATATAGAGAATATAATTACATAGAAATAAGTGATCATGATAATTTGTACTGTCAGCTCCAGCAGATTTAACCTGGTGTACAGGCTGTGATCAGCTAAACTGTGCTGATGCTGCTCTGTGTTTCTTTGCCCTTTGTGAACTTAGCCAGCTCAACTCAATAAGATCTAACTCAGTGTTAGCCCCGTGATTTATTATCTTTCCAGGATATACCAGGACTTTCGCCCTGTACAAGTTCATGTGTCAGACATGATTTTTCCCTGGGAAATACAGTAATGTACATTTTCATTTAAAGCACTAAAAAGGTTCGTTTGTTGATATTTTTGAGCTGTTGAAATGATCTGCCAACTCACCAAATATCACCAAACACCATTTTTCTTTATCGTTATATGTTCTAACAAATTTTGTAGTTTATAACTCCATGAGTTTATAATTAATGTAATAATATCAAATGGACATTTTAGAAGTGGATCTTTAGACCAGACTGTTTAACGCAATCTTAGAGAGTGCGAGTTTGGCCACTTGGTGGTGAAACAGATAAAATATAAATGAGATAGAGAAGAAGCAAAACACAGTTGTTGAGGCCTGACTTTTGCAAGACATAATTAATTACCAAACAAACACAACTGCCACTTAACACACTGTGTTGTTATGTTAAGTTTTCAAGTTAATGATTTGTTTGTAGTTTTCAGGGGACAATGTTAAATACTGTGGTTTAAGGTAGAGATGGTCTGATACCACGTTTTTATGTCCGATACTGATATCATAAATTTGGATATCTGTCGATACCGATATGAAGCCGATATAGTGTATGTTTTAATCAATAAAACTGTTTTTAATATCTTGCTGCATTTTGTATAAGTTCATACTTAAGCTTTAAAAAACAAAACACTGAAGCTATTCTGTTATATCTGTATGCAAAAACACACTGCACCCAAAATATTTCATAGTTCAGTAATACTGATCAATCTAGTAAACTTAAACGTACTCCATCCTCCCTATTCTGGTATTTTAAAGAGTACTTAGCAGAACTATTAAACAACCTAACTGATAGCGTTGCCAACTCCCTGCAAAAAAAAATAGGGAACCACCCCCCACCCTCCGCCTCGTGATGACATAATCAACTTTAATTTAATGTACCTGTAAAAAAGAAATGCACAGAAATCAATTATTTTTCTACAATATTTAAATAGATTCAACATCTTTCTTTAACAGAATTCCAGACTGCACAGATGGTACCTTCCCAAAGGAAAAAGTACTATAGCTTACTCGGGTATACAGTGGGGCAAAAAAGTATTTAGTCAGCCACTGATTGTGCAAGTCCCCCCACCTAAAATGATGACAGAGGTCAGTAATTTGCACCAGAGGTACACTTCAACTGTGAGAGACAGAATGTGAAAAAAAATCCATGAATCCACATGG